CCAATGATACTTCAGGGAACTCCAGAAAATCAAATAGAAAATGTATGGTAGGTAAGATAATGGAAGTCGAATTAACATTTAATTAAGTCTAAGGTTGGAGTCCAATCGCTCTATTTTCATGATAAGATTTGAATTACAAAACTGTATAGGTTATAAAATATTAAGTGATGTTTTATAGACGAATATACTAGTGTAATAAAATGAAAAGATTACACCGTAAATGTTGATGTCCGCTAAATATTCGCAACTATTTAATTATTGATGTCGAAGATAATGTGTTGCAACAAAGTCTACTACATAAATAGATTCATTTATTTATTTAAACCGATAAAGTATAATTTTTATTGGTTGGTGATTTAAAATGTACCTTGTTTGGGCGTAAATGATTTCTCGCCTGCGGTGTCAATTAAGTATCGAGTTGGTGATATTATTTCTTTCGTCGCTCATAAAAATGTGTGAGTCGCTATTTCCCTTGGAGTTAATTAAGATAATACCTTGAGTAGGAGGTTAGCAATTGCAATGTTAATTTATACTTATTTACTCTTTTTTCTTTTTTAATGGTCTTTGGTATTTAATTGAATTAATAAGACAACGAAAATCTTATATATTTATGTTCAAGTCAGTTTTATTTAATCTAGTTTTAGTTATTAATTGTGTATGCGAAGTCATTTTATTTATTATTACGTTTACATCTGTTTATATTTTTTTTATATAATTTTTTAATTTTTAATAATATCTGTTAAAGGTATTAAAAAAAATCATTTTAAAATAAATTTCGAGAGTTCATAGCGTTTCTTAATTTGGGTACCATTAACAGCTTAAGTTTCAGTTTTTTAAATGCTTTAAACCGGAATGTTTAGTTGTAGATTCCAAACTTAACTTTTATAATGATTAATCTGTTTCATTAAACGCTCTTGTTAGCGCCGTGTTAAGTACAATTTTAACTACTGTTATCCGTTACACTTAAGTCGGAAACATCCGTCTTTTAAGTTACGAATACGAACGTTAGTTGACCCGATTAAGACTTCATTATCTGTGATCTCGTTGATCACAAGTGATTATTAAATCTCTTAACTTTTATATCAGATGCCTTTTCACATTGCGCGTACGTGTCGGGCTTACTTTGTATTTTGTTAATATGAAGTATTGTTATATGTAGACTTTTATATACTAAACAAAAAAAAAACTTAAAATGTAAAAAAATATTGATCATTCTCTAATCGTTCTAACATATAGAAATCGCGTGGTTTCGCTTTTTTATTATTTTTACGATCATCGTATTAATACGAGTATGTTTTTAAATTACCCCATCCTCACCACCACGGTAAAAGACTAAAGTGAGCCAAGGCGACGCCGTCAATTGTAGTTATTTGTTAATTAAACCAAATTCTGTAGTGATGACTAAAGCAACACTCTCGATCGGTCGCCCGTTTTGGTACGAAACCAGTTTGCTCGCGTACTGGATATCGATCCTGTAGACAAGCGGTCCGTACCTTCACATCACTATGCATGTTGATTAAAGATACAGGGAACGGTAACGTTACATGACAACGAATGTCTTGTACTTTTAAACTATTTTATCTATACTGCATCAACTTTATTTCTTTTGTACGCAACACGGACGGTGTTAAATAAATATAATATTCACTTAAAATACGGCATGTGTTAATGAAAAGTGTGATAAAACTATTCGCCTTTAACCTTAGCTTAAATAGTTCTGAATCTCGGAAACGGCTCCAGCGATTTTCATGACATTTAGTATGTGTGTAGATTCGGGGGCGAAAAATCGATCGAGCTAGGTTTCATTTTTAGAAAATGTCCTTTTATCCCTGTTGTCAGGGAATGAAAAATATCATTCGAATATGACGGTAAATTCGCCGCAAAAAAAATTGTTATACTAGCTCGGTTGGTAATTGGGCGGCCCCAAAACAGACGGCCGCGGTACGTATCACGATCATTTACACATTTATTTTTTTTACTTTTTTTTCGATTCCAGATCATTGCTTTCTTTATCTTTTATTTTTTGTCGATTTGTTGTTTTGTTATTTTTTTCCCTTTTTTTTTAAAGTTCTTTCTTTTGTGAAAGACTCCAGTTCATATTTTCTTATTATTACGTCGGTAAGATCGAAAAATATTATGCATATTTCATTACTTAGTAATTTGTATCTAAATGTAATTTCCAAAATACACGATCTACCAAAAAAAAAAACAGGTTTTCCAGGTACTATGTATTATGCATGTAATGTTTGTATCTCTGAAGCCTGCGGTTATATTCATACATTTTATTATACATATAATTTTTTAAACAGGCTGTTTTTGTGTGTAACTAGGTATGCTGAAACTAGTGAACCGATTTTCCTAAAATCTTATCTATTTAAATAAAAATAGGATTTCACTAAAAATTATTTACATTCAGTTGAAACAAAAAAAATTAAAATCGGATATCTTTAATGGAAGGTTGAATCTTGCTTGTTTTATTGCGTCATTAAATTATAAAAATATTACAAATGGTACAATTTTATACAATTCTAAGATATATTCAATAACATTGTGAAGTAATGGCGTTTTTAACAAGGTAAAAAAGTTTATATTTTCCGTCTGCGTGAAGCTAGTTATCATTAACTACTCTTTACTATCTTACGGAATTTTTATTTTTTTTACATATATTATACTCGTAAATACAATATGAATTAGTTTGCTTCTATGATTGTATATTTGCCATCCAAGCCTTTATCTGCTGCCTGGTCGAAATGCACTGTGATCGGTGAACAGATGATATCTAGCCAGATTCATGGCGATCTGTGCATGGCTGAATACCTAACGGGCACGTTTGAGCTGAGGCACTGCGATTCCTAGATGCGACAGCCGGCCTCCCGGCCCTATGCTGTCCATCAACCATTCGCCATTACTTGGAGATAGCTCTTGATAACACGTCGTCACCTAACAAATTTCGCAACTTGGTAGCGGCGGTCATTCAACCTCAGTCTCGGTATACCTGTTGACCGCACCATGTGATGGATTTAGTTAAGATTCAAGTTAGATTAGAATTAAATTACTAGAAAATTAACGCATACAGCCGAATCCCAAATAACGAATAGCTTAACGTTCTTGGCATCCAGTATTGTACAGAAATGTGTCCGTTTGAACGTGCTTAGATCATTGTATCACCCAAATCGTTTCTTGTAGATAATTTCTAAGGAAAATAATATGGTACAATTCAACGAGCGTACTTCCTTTATCGATGCTCTCATTATTCGTAAAACTAAAAATATTTCGAATTAAATATATAAAGTCAATTTAGTGTATGTTTTAAAGTCAATTTTGGATTTCCGGACTACATCTATACTGCACAATAAATAAACGCTCACGAAAACTGTCACAGCAATAAAACATGCGGGCAAGCTAATAGTCTAAAATGTTACAATGCCTGAAAAAAATAATACGAGGTGTACTTAGTGGATTTATGTGAATCGCTTTATCCAATAAAGTAGGGAACGTCTCGTAAATCGTCGCTACAAGGGGACGGATGGCCGGCGCGGTCTAAGGAGGCGACACCTCGCGAGTGGGCGCATCAACCGTTATTTAAGCCTAGGGCACATTGGCACATTCAACGTGCAGTGCTAGGTCTGCTCAGTGAGTCCCAACCTTACAAATTCAATAACACAGCGTTTTGTTTTTAATTTACATACTGGCTAGTGCATGATTGCATCCAAAATGATTGACAAGGTGCGAAAATCTCTAGATCAGTAAAAGTTCAAATTATATAGTGTTGTAGTGAGTTTTGTATGAAGTTTTTTTTGTTTGATGCATGCATTTAACTTCATTAATTTCCCACGTCTATAAAAATTGAGCAATAAGCACAGTTGTCCATTTCAAGTTAATCAACGAAAAATATTATTTAACAGAGTTTTATTAGTTTCACATCAAATTTTATTTTCACCAAGTTCCAGAAGTTTAATTGATCTTAAATCTTAAACTTATGAAGGATGACAATAAATCATTCTTAGATTATTGTTACAAATAATTTATAACTTAAAGTCATTTCAATGTTATATTATATATATTTATAAATTAATATTTTGTTTGTGCGAATATTTCAATTAGCTCTAATATATGAACATCGAAATGAAATACCGTAGTCTTTTGTATTGTGCTTGTATTCGTTCACCAAACGAAATAGCATCGTGGAATATGACACGAACCATATTTTATCTGATAGCGGAACGGTACACGTGCTTCTAAATGTAAGGTTAGTTCAGAGAACGTTGTTGCAATGCGGCACAATAATAAAATATCGTAGACAAATAGTCACAGCGTTTGAAACACGGCTCGATTTGGCATGGCGAAATTATATTACCTTCATATTAATAAATGGCAATAATACAAAATGATAATAAGAGTCAATGGATCGCCTTTTCTTACGCCATATAAAGTTTCTCCGATGTAGGTATGAATTTCTGGCAAACATGTTAAGCATGGCATTTAGAAAAATTATGTAGATTTCTTTCATAACTACTACAATATTAAGAACATTAATATATTTGTATTTATAATTATATTTCTTTTTATGTACGTACACAGTATTTATAAAAAATAGACAGGCACAAAAATTGAGAGGATAATACAATAAAATTGAGAAATACGACAATAAAGCTCATTCCGGACATCTTATACTATGTCTTAATTTACTCAAATTTCGATTTAATATATCTTTGACATGAATATCAGCAAGTTTATTGTGGAAGAGACACATTTTGTCTGGGGTTATTTTTTATGAATTAGATCATCGTCCATCCTTAGGCTAACTTTGCACTCCGACACCAATAATTTATATTCAACTAATACCTATATTTCTTGTGCCAGATGTCACGTCTATAGCAAAAACGCTACATGAGGATATTCTTGTCAATAACACATGACACCTCTTCTTCACACTGGCGAGTATCCAGTGTACATTCGCTCAGTCCAAATCACTCGGCGTATCGAAACAAGATGTATTACCGCCGAGTAATCCGGCGGGCAGATAGCAAATATCGCTTCACGGCCGACTTGACCTTAACCAGTGGTCTGAACGGTACAAATAGTCGGCGGCGAGAAGCGAGCTTCGACGTCGACCCAGTAACGAGCGGTGTCGGGTAGCCGGCGTAGTTCATCGAGGTCGGAACTATGCCAATATAGGGAATCAACTTTCCAACTAACGACTTCCGCTTATCCACGATCTGCCTAGCATCCATCTTTATCGGCATTCCATAATCGAAAGTTTCACTTACCAATGACTGGACGTGATAGAATTTTACGTATGTAGGTACGTCGTATCCAGCGGATAAGACGAATGGCCCTTAAGGTAATAAGTAAATTTTTCGATGACGCTTTTCCATTTCTGACCACATCTATATAAAGTAATCGTGGAAATTTGAATAAATTGAAACATCACATCATTTACAAGTTAAACTTAAGTAGTAAAGTAACAGCCTATACAAGTTCCACTGCTGGGCAAAGACTTACACTGCGGATTGGCAGACTTCACATATCTTTGAAATATTTTTGTATTTACATTTCGTGCACGTGATACACAGCGCTTAAAATTGACTATTTCATTGGTACTAGCACCAGGATTAGAACTCAGGTTGCTCAAGTATATTGAATTAAAAGTGAGCCGGGACACTGAGCTATCACGGCATTAGAATAGCTTCTTGTTTAAAATTTTTTCTTTATGTTTATTGTTTAGAATTTATATAATAGTTTATGTTCGTTACAAATCCCAAGGAGCTAAGTAGTTTGTGTTTTAATTTATAACGTATGTAATGGCTATTCTAAAGAATAAGTGCAGTATAAAATAATATAGCCATATTTTTTTATAAGCAGTTGCAATGAAAAGTTATTTTTGCCAAGTTTATTTGACTTCCGGCTTTGCCTTATTAGCAAGTTTGAAATATAAATTATGTATTAAATTCTAAGCTCTATTGGCTTCTGTTTACGCTTCTAACGCGTGTGTATGGATTTTAACGAAGGGTAATGTTAAACGGTAATAGACGTACGTTAGGCGAAGGCGTTGGGCGCAGGATACAGGACGCCGAGGCAAATCCAACCCACACAGAATCTATCCAATAAATACCCAAAAAGCTTGTTGCCACCAGCATTCCTCGTCCATTGTGTCCATCGCCGATTTATCTTTGCTAAAGCTGCTCTATTGGCTTTCCTCTCTACCCACGTCTGATTCGCATCTACCGCTATCTCCCGCTATATGTACATTACCGTATCGATATAAATATTCATTTTGCGTTCTGCGATATACGCAGCAACGGACGCGCTGTTCATTGCTGCCGCCATACTTTCGTATCAGCCACGCTGGCCGGCTACCTTATGGAACGGTTGACAAATCGCTCAATTGTCCCACCTCCACAGCACGGAGCACCAACTAGTTGGGTGGCGGGTTGTGCAACTAGTAGTGGGTTCAGTCGATTTGATGGATGCCGGAAGACGTTCAACTTTATTGTACTTTATTGAGATTGGCCAATAGGAAACATTCGACGAATTGCGCATGGGCAAACGGCTTACGGTAAACCTATATTGAATAAATTTTCTTACTCAAGATTCAATTTGATAATTTGCTTTTCATGTTTAGAAACCTGAAATAGTAAGTATTACTTCAATTTGCTTTAAAACAATTTTCTAATGGAAAAGTTAAAATGCTAATCGAATTTAAATCTTTGACAAAGAAGCTAAGTAATTTTCTAAAGTAGTTTTGATACGTTTACATTTAGATTTTGTTGCAGAACATTAGAATTCATAATTACTGAGAAATAATAGAGATTTAATATACGTATCGAGCATAAGTTTTTGCATATTAAAAGGTCAAGTCCTTGCTCGCGAACTAAGAGGTTGCAATTTTAACAAATCGAGTCCAATATTTCCATACAATCATTTATTGTTGTCTAATGGTAATAGAATCAAAGCTGCGGTGAAAGGTCCCGTTGGGGTGCTATAATGTCATCATCATAAACGTATCTAAAATATTGCCCACGTGATCGGACATGAAGAGAAATATAAAGCGGTAGAGTATAACTATCTCGCATGAAAGGTACGATATCGCGGCATCGCACCAAGTAATCGGCGACGTGGTTAGACAAGTTCTCTTATTAGGGAAGCAGAGTGAATCGGGTAACGTGTGAAAAGTGGGGAGATCTTCGGTGCTAGGGCGTAGGGCCGCACCGCGAAATATTTCCCGAGATACGGCACGAGTGCGATTCGCCGATATCTCGGGAGCGCGCGTTCGAATCGTCTATCGAGTCTATGATCGGCTCCGACGAGGGGTCACGCGCGTTAAACGTAAATCAACATATCTCGCGACGGGAGATCTAGCGGAGCATGCGCCCGCCCAACAAAAACTGAATTTTATAGCCGTAACACTACACCCGGAGAGAAAAAAAAAAGAGTAAATAAATTGGACGTGTCCGAGTGAACGACCGGGCTCCCGCGACGGCCAACCCTTTAGGGATTATTTATCTAAGTCGGCTCCATCGTATTTTACGATCATTTTAGGCCTCAATAGCAGGCCGCTTTTGTAACTATCATGGGAAAACTCGATGATGTCTGGCATATTACTTGGTGCATCATGGTTTCGTAGGGCTTTTTGATTTTTAACTAGCAACTAAACCTAGATATCGTGTGTCTCGCTGTCAAATGTGAAGTCGTATGAACTAAACCAAAACTGGAGCACTTTTTTAGTTATTTGTTAGTATTCCATTCCCATATTTATAAAATAGTTCAAAATATTATGCTCTGACTAAGGTTGACTATATAACTAACATTTAATGAATATTATTTTATTAATACTCTTATGAGTAAGTTTCAGCAACTGTTAGTATTTTATTCTGCAAGTTATTTTATTCCATATCAGTAACGATATCGGCAAAGTTAAGCCCACGTGTATCTATCTGTACCTATATGTTTTGATTTATTGTATTCTCGTTCTGACTTAACACACGGCGGAATGTCGCTCGTTGTGACATAGTTTCACTAAGGAGTCGTTCCACACTGAACGTGGGACTTAATTATCACCAGAGGTGTTTGAATATCGTTACATGACCCAGCCTATGGGAGAATTCTGGCTGCTTTCGTACAAATTGAATTATATTCGTGACTTTGTAATAGAAGAGGATAGATAGTGAGACCGATCAAATTACGGTATATAAAATTTACCGAGTCATTTAGAAGTAAAGAAACTCATCCAAGTTATATAATATACACAAAAAGAGAATTGTATTACGGGCATGTTTTAACTGTTTTAAGTGTTTTCGGATTCACCATGGCCAGTTTGTAAACGCTTGATTTGTTTAAGTGTTTAATAGAAGATCTATTAATAGAAGATCTATTAATGGCGAGTTTTGGATTAAATATCGTCAGGATATAAATGATATTCATAATAAGTTTCCACCCTTCCTTATTACATGTAAAAACTTATCTCTTCATTTTATGTTATGGCGATCAGATACCGAACGAAGATTTACGAACGATTTATGATCAGACCTGATTTAGCCTACTTCGTTTTAGTATAAGACAGAATAATGTTTCTTTTTTTTACGCCAATATTACACATTGCTAGTAACTTAGTACGGACTTAGACTTTAAAAAGGTCGAGAATAAAATACATAACAGTTTTATTGACAAAAGTTGGTGGTACGGCCACGTAGCAGCCTTCGCTGTTGCACGAATGGGTGCCTCGAATGTCCGTCCGGGGAGCTACCACGACCTCACAGAAGACCGGCGGAAGTGGAAGTCGCATTTCTCTCTTCTCTTCTTCATTTCTCACTTCTGCTTTTCGTCTGGTGAGTGAGATAAGCGCGACCTCTATATGAAAAGGTGGCAACGCATCTGCAACCCTACGGGTGTTGCAAATGCCCATGGCCGGCGGTTCGCTTGCCACTTTCTCACATAAAAAAAACCAAATCACATTCAAATATCTGCCTAAGTACACATTACCTATTTTATTCTGAGGATTTCCCTGATGTATCTCCCGAGTCTTAGATCCAATACTATTTAAATTAATATGGGATTATATGGGAGTTCAATGTACCCAACGTAAAGGTAATCTTAAAAATCCATTCATAAATGGATAAGTTCTGGGGTAACAAATATATAAACGCAACCGGATTGAGAACTTCCTCCTTTTAGGAATTCGGTTGATTGTCGAAATAAGCCGCGGTACAATACGGGAAATAGTTCTATTTAACATTAAAGCGTTATTTACACAAAAAGAGTGTCTCGATCGCGAGCGGCGAAAAATCGTAAGAGATCATTTTACGCGAGAACTCGCCATGCAAATCTCTCCTGTGGTTGCTTACGTTTTGATGAAAACACGTAGCATTTAAGCGATACTCGGATTCGATTGTCTAAGGCGATACTCGCTCCTCTTAAATTTAGACTGCAGACAAGTATTCCTAGGACGTTATACGCGTACGAACCTCGACTTGTCGAAACACTGTTAAGACGGAATGCCGCGGCAGTCGTCAAATCAAACTGATTGGCGTCGTCGAATCGCGAGTGCACTGACAAATGGTCGCAATATTGAGGTCCTATCCGCTTAAGGCTGATTGCCTAAGTGCCTGGCAGGGCCCGATCTGGATACCGGTGCTTATCAGAGCTATCGATCTCTAACTGACAGTTTTACGCGTCGTGTCGCGATTCCACTCGCGATGCACCCGGCACATAAACTGAGCCGTTGGGCTCTTGTCATTTTCGATGTTAAAACAAATTGACCTGACGACTCGGGCGAGTACACGGATGGCGTGACTACGAAATTTTGTTTTTACGAGGCAGGTAAGCTTCGTCATGTTTGACTATTATGCGTTTTATTATAGACTTACGGGTTTATGGGATAATTAGCTAGATATAACCATAATTAAAGCCACGTTTTGAACCGCTTCAACCACAAATCGCGTGAAGTTATTTTCACATAACTCAATAATAACGTTAACGATCCTGAAAACAGTTTAGGTTTTGATTTTATTCACGTCGACCATTGGTATAACGACTGGACGGCGTTTTTATAGCTTGAATGATTTATTGTATGAAGTAACTAGTCTCATTGCCAGCTAAATAAAAAAACCGGTACTGGAACGCTTTGTTCTCCGAGCGCAACCTTCTTTTACACACCGTTTCTTGAGAATGGCTTTTGCCGTACAGGATTGCTTTAAACGATGACTTTACGATTTCAGAAATGGCAATAATTCAT